TGAGTACAGAAACAAGAAATTGCTATCCAGCAAACTGCTGCTTGCCTGGAGTTGACGAATTTATGCAGCCCTGCCTGGCAGCTGCCCTGATCCTTTGGAGGCTTCTGGAGGATTGTGATAAATGGTGCACAGATGAAAAGGTAAGTCCCAGAGGAAATAAGTTCTCTGGTCCAGGCTAGAAAAAAAATTTATATACACTGAACAGGGCCCAGTCTTATTCTTAAGGAATGATCACTGGCAAAGGTGAAAGTGCAAAGATCCTTTTGCTGTTGAGGAAACAAGCAAAATTTTTTTGCTGTGGGAGTGACCAAGCACTGTCCATTAGTCTCCCACCTTGGAGATACTCAAAAGTTGCCTGGACATGGTCCTGAAGAAACAGCTCTAGGTGCCCCTGCTTGGGCAGGAGGTTGGACCAGGTGACCTCCAGAGGTCCCTGCTGACCTCAACCACTCTCTGATTATGTGAAGATTTACTGTAAGTCAAGTTAAATTCTCATTGACTTGTGTGATTTAAAATGTGCTGGTCTGGAAATGACTCGTGCCTTGTTTGTGCTCCTGTCCAACTCCTTGCTTTGCTGTGTGAATCATCCTGGGTGCCCAAGCCTGAGCTGCCCATCTCCCAGCCTGCCGTGTGTGGAATGCTGAGGACAAGGAAAGCAGTGGGGCAGGTGAGCTTGGCAAGGGGAGGATGGACTGCACACACAAGGTGGATACATGAGCTTTCTTTTTCCTGTTGTTTCTGTGCACAGTGAATTTTGTCACTGCCTGATTAACTCCACGATGGGGAAGGCTGGGGGCAGTTCTGCTGTGGGTCTGTGGAGTCTTCTGCACAGTGCTGCTTCCAGCTTCTGTAAAGGGTTGGTGAGAGCACACTGGAGAAGAAAAGAACTGGAAGAGTGTTTTTACTGCTCCCACATGTCTGCAGTAGCTATACTGCAGTATGTGGACCAGGGCAGAGCAGGATGGGCTGAAATCAGACTCTGCTGAGCAAGTTCTGTCAGCATAGGAGGCAGCAGTGAAGGCTTCAGCCTTTCTCTATTCTGATTTCTTTGAATGGAGAAGTTTCTGTGTCCAGACTTGCACCCTGGCAGTGATCAAGGACAGCTTTTGTAGTTGCCCATGTCTCTGGCACAAGTGGGCATATAACACCCAGCTGGGTGTACCCCAACCTGCAGCACTTCCCTTCGAAGCGCAAGGTGGGCAGCAGCCCAAAACGAGAAGGGCAGCCTTTGGCATGGTGCACATTTTTGTGTTTTCACCTTTTTCAAAAAGAAGTGTATAGTCCTACACCTTTGTTGCTGAAGAGTTGGTGCTGCTGCAGATGTCATAGGCTGCTGTGCCAGCGCGGCGCAGGTGGTGATGACGTGCCCGGGCTTGCTGGGCTTACCCTGCTAATTAGCACTGCTGAGCCAGAGCCTCTCCAGAAGGAGAAATCAACAGGTTCTGATTAGTCCTTATGTAATCAGGACTGCTCATCTTCAGAGCATTTCGCTAATACTGACTCATCTTCACAGCCTCAGCTGATAAGGTCAAAATTGCTCCTTTTAGACACCTGGGGAAGGGGGGGCAAGAACCTTTGCGCAGATTGTTCAACTTGTTACTGACATGTGGAAATGTGGCTGAGCTAGACTGGGTGATGGGTGTTCTCAGCATTCAGCTTTTCCTTAGGTGTCCTGTTTCCCTACTGGAACTTTTCCTTCTTGAAATACAATGAAAACTGAAAGGATTTCACCCCCCAGACCCCGGCTTTCTGATGCTTTCCAAAATGAAGTCCAAGTCTCACCTTAGTCAGATGCTGGGTTGTGCAATGAGCTGCACTAACACTGATCCCTAAACACTCTAAGGCTCTAAAAGCTTTTTAGATTTTTTTCAATATCCATCTCTTTAATTGGCTAAACCTGATCCCATCTCCAAGGTGAGAAGTCATTTTCCTAGCGGGAACCTGGCCAGATCTGAACCATCATTCTGTGACAGGGTTTCCTCAGTTTGGGGAGGTTTTCTGCAGTCTGGACTCCACATGGGTGACACGAGGTGTTGCGTGGCATGGGGTGGGTGGTGGGTCAGGGTGTGGGATGGCCACTCTTGGCAGAGATATTGCAGAGACTGTGTCTCAGTGCATCCACGATTAAGACAACATACTGAACACAAAACCAGTGCCTGGCAGCTGATTCCCATTTCTAGCAACAGGTGATTGTATTCTTCCAGTGAGGGGGTGGGTTGAATGTTTTGCAGGATGTTCTGTAGTCAGTGTAACCAGCCTCCCCAGCAGGTCTGGGAGGCAGCACATGGTGTACTCAGGCACTGGGAATGGGTTAATCACCAGCAGAAATCAGTACTTTGCCAACTGGTCTGAGGTGGGCTTCATTGAGCAAAGTGGATTTCACATAGACACTCTCCCTTGAGTCATAAGGATGGTTTCTCACTGTGAGCTCTGTTGCTGCTCTGAAGAGACCCACGAGATGTGGGCTCATTATTCCCAGGAGCAAGCCAAAAAATTTTCTGTGGGAAGGAGCAAGACCCATGGTTGCTCCATATCTAATAAGCTCTAAGTATCTTGTACTGAGGTAGGTGAAGAATTGATGAGCTTTTTTAGGCAAGATGGCATTTTGAAAGCCCTGAGATAAGGATTTTCTGCACTGGGTCTTACACTGCTTTGCAAATACTACAGGCTCCTCCAGAAGCTGAAGGATGGCCCTTCCAGAGGATGTGGAGCAACTCCTTGGCTGCTGCTCCCTTAATTGTTGTTTGTGGGGGGTTGTACCTGCCACAGTGGGTAATTCTGAGCAGAATGCTAATCCTGCTAAGCCTCTGACAAGGAATATTCCTGTTCACATTAGTGAGGTCACTCCCAAAGATTTACCTCCAGGAGTCACACCCTTTCAACCCCCTGGCTCTGGCCTGGAGCAAATTGTCTGCCCCAGCATCATATGCCTGAAAGGCTGCCAGTGGCCAAAGGCTCCTCAGGCTGCTCTTTGCTCTCTTTCCTTGGCAGCCTTTCCATCTTTGGCAGGGAATTAAGGGGCTTTGTCCAAGAATTACCATTTGCCATTCTTCCATATTCTTTTTTTTCCCATTATTTTCCTTTTTTTGTAGAGATGGGTCCTTTGTTATTTCATATCTTTAACATGGTTTCTCAAAGAAATGAGAATGAAGTTGTCTCATCCTCTTTCCATCTCTCCTAAAATAGCTTTTGAGCCTGTTGGACAACTTCTAACAAATCCGACAGCTGGGCACAAGTCTCAGATTCAACAAGCTCCTGCACATTTAATTAAATCTCACACCTTAGGAGAAACAGGAAAATCCCATCATAAGACAGAGCCAGAGGAAACCAGGCTTTTGTGGTTCCATAAAAAAACTCCTCCTGAGGTAATATTTGCTTTCCTGGGTGCTTTAGGGCAAGTTTGCCGTGGATCTCCTTCCGATGGCCAATGCAAAGAGCACTGGGCTGTTATGACCCCAGTGGATGCAGAACTGGATCCCAGTGCCAAAGACGGTGCCACCTCGTCCCCCTCATGTTCCCCGCCATGGCTGAGAAGAGGGACACGTCTCCTTCCCTCCCAGGGCACTGAGTGCAAGGCCACAGGGAAGGGCTGGTTTTGGGGAACACCACTCTTGCCCTCCAGCCCTGGCTGCTGCTCTCCCAAGTGAGACTTTCCATGCACTGTTGCTTTTCTCTGCATCATCTGGTGATTAATTTAACACCTTAAAATTAGCACCGGCACTTCAGTGAGGGTTTGTTGTTTTTTTTTAATTAGATGAGGCTTTTTTCATTCTTTCCTGCAGCCCCTCAGAACACATAACTGCGAGCCGTGTTTCTGCGATGCTGGGGCAGGTTCACCTGCGTCAGCTGAAGAATGTGTTTCTTCTCCCAGCGCAATGTGCCACCTCCCTCTTTCCTCCTCCAGCGCATCCCAGTCAACTGACATCCTCCAGCCCAGCCTACGTGTGTGCGCACACGCGCTTATTAACTTCTACATCTTAATTGAAAGGGCGGCGTGCGTTTAAGCCCTAATGATGACATCCTTTCTTCAGGAACGGTCTTTAATCTTGAAGCAAAGCGGTGAACCAAGGCAGCAGAGCAGGGTTGCCAGGCGAGGCTGCTGGCACACGTGAGCACTTGGACCTGCCAGGAAATGAGGGTTTAGGGTTTGCATTTGAAACGCGTGCCTGATGGTCCAGGAGAAGGGGGGAGATGGTGAGGGCCCAGTGGGTGAGGAAGAGGATGATTGGATGAGCAGGAAGTGTGAAGTCTCTTCCAGAGCTATTAAGTAGCATAAAAGACAAGTCTTTTAAGACCTGGTACATCTCTGAATGCTGGTCCATGGGCAACCCCAAGGCACTTGCCTTCACCTCTTTGTAGCCTGACTTGTTAATATAAAATGATGAGGTTTATGGGCTGGGGTTTTCCTTTGCTTATTAATTTGTCCTGAGAATAAGACAATTAAAATCTCTGGATGTTCTTATAACACAGACAAGGACTTTATGGTCCCATATAGCTGCAATATAAGCCACTTTGTTACAGTAACTTTATGGTCAAAAAGTCCCTCTAATCCTGATTTACAGCTGTGAGTCAGGGCTTCAGTGCTGGAAGGTCAAAACATTCCTAAAAATGATGTTTCTGAATAACATCAGTGGGTTTGTGAGCCCAGCGTTTGTGCTTTAGAGGAAATCAGGTCCTTGGCTTTCAGAGATGCCATTTAAAGATGTTTGAATGAGAAACTATTGGTTTGATGGATGGAGTGCAGTGTGCATTGGTGAGGAGTCTTCCAAGGATGCCCGCTCTTGGCTGCCATGCTGTAATAGGTGGGAAGAAGCTGGAAAAAAGCAGCAGCCTGATAGTAAAAGGCAGCAAACCTAACACAGAGGAATTATGCACCATTCTTAGAGAGATGCTGCTGTTTCCTTACTTATTTATCTGCTCTAAGAAAAAGTAAAAAAGGGAGGGAAAAAACCAACCAACCAAAAAAAAAAAAAAAGAAGTCCTCCAAAAAGGAGCGGTAAATGTGCACTGCTAATCGACCAAAGCCCTGCCAAGCAAATCTTTTGTCAGATCATCTGCCCAAAATCAAAACCCTGGACTCAGCAGGCCCCGTCACCAGCGGTTCTGCCTACGAAGCAGGAAAGCGCAAAGCCCCCGGTTCCCGCGGCTTTGTTAAAAAGCCCTCGCGACACCAGCCCCGGCCCAGCCCCCTCCCACCGGCCCCTATATAGTGGGGTGTCCAATGTCCTGTCCATCCCGCTTTTGGTCTGGCTCCCGCTCTTGGTCTTGGATAACAGCCAGCAGAAAATGTCCCAATACTCAGGAAAAGTAAGTAACGACCCAACCGCTTCCCTTTCAGCCTGGGGCCCGAGAGCCCGAGCGCCCTCCGGGTTGGAGCCCCTGATGAGGATAATGGACCTGGCACACGCGACGTGAGTGATGATACCGGGAGCAAATTCGGGAGCAGGGATGGGGAGGGGTGCGGCAGAAGGAGCTGCGTTTCGGGAGCCAAGTTTCCTGTTTAAACATTCCTGCTGGAAATATGTGCGACAGAGCACGAGGGCGGCGAGAAGCGTCGTAAACGCGGGATGCGCTGCGTTCCCAGAAAAACAAATGCGGTTCTTAGGAAAAAATGCCAGTGATGTCGTGCTCCTTGTGCCGGAAAGCAGCTAAAATAACCCAAACCATCCTGAAATGATGCAGCTGCAAGAGATTCCCATCTGCTCGAAATGGGGGTCCGGCCGTGCCGCTGCTTCTCACCACGGGCCCGTTCTCCTCCCTCTCCCCAGATCACTTTCTACGAAGGCAAATGCTTCACGGGCAGGAAGCTGGACGTCTGCGGGAGCTGCAACAGCTTCCAGGAGCAAGGTTTCCTCAACCGGGTCAACTCCATCTGCGTCCAGAGCGGAGCTTGGGTCTGCTTCGACCACCCCGACTTCCGAGGGCAGCAGTACATCCTGGAGCACGGAGAGTATCCCGATTTCTATCGCTGGAATGGACGCAGCGACCACCTGGGCTCCTGCCGGCCCGTTGGGATGGTGAGTTGGAAGCTGCTGGCGGCGTTTGGCTCTCCCAGCCGGAGCACCGTTGGGTTTTATTTCTCCTGGTCACGGGAGCCCCGTGAATAAGCGTCATGAAAACCTGTGTTCTTTAGAAATAATGTGTCCCGTCGGGAAAGAAATGGTTTCCTGGGGAAGGTTTGTCCCGTCTTGGAGCGCTCTGCAAAGGCCGCAAAGCCAAGACATGGTTGCCCCTGTCCCCAGACAGGAGGAAAGTCCTTCCTCCCACAGTGAAGCGCAGTGCCTTTAATGGGATGAGATATTCCCGTGGTTTTCCAGATGAGATGGCAAGGTCCTGCTAGTACCAAGTGCTTTCCCTTTTTAATGCAAGCTGCTATGAAATATGCGCCAGGGAAGCCAGTAGGAGATTCATTGCCCAAGGCAAGTTTGAGCTGTGGCAGACTGGGCTCCCCACGGATGTGGAGGGGGAGTGGGCAGCCTGAGGGCTTTCTCTCTGAACTGGACCTATAGGGCAGCTGGGCTGATCCTAGCAAATTCTAGCTGAATTCTCTGCTGTTGCAAACCCCACCCCAGTAATCCTAAAGTAAACCATTATTTTCCCCTCCCATAATGAAGCTTTTAAAAGCACAGTCGAGAGGAAAGTTTAATTGGGAAAATTAAAAGGTGACAAAGAAAAATGAATCTGAGTTGGGTCTTTCCATTGACTGTCCTATCACTGAAGACCCCCAGGGCAATGATGAGCCTTCTTGGAGCTGGTGAGGTTTCTCACTGGCCCCGAAGCTGCTTTTCACACAACAGTGGGTCTGTTTCAGCTCCCAAAGCACCTCCATGGTCTGTACATGGAGGGGTGCTCTGCCCCAGGCCCCGGACCCTGGCCAGCACAAGGATGTGCTCCTCCTTCCCGGGCCCAAGGTTTTCCCTGTAAGATGCCAGCAAGTGCTTTGAGGCATTTCTGCAGCACAGATTCCCGGAGGAATGTTTGCTCAGGCACGGTATCCACTTGGCTGCTGCCGGTGGCTGCCTGCTGTGGAGTTTGGCATCGCAGCCCGGCCTTCTTGTGCGCTGACATTGTTTATTTGAAAAATGCATTTAGGTATTCTTTGAATTTGGCTTAAAAATATCTTTTCAGCCCGGTCTGTCCCACATAGCTCTGCCGCGGGCTGCAGAGATCTCCCCGGAGTAATTTGTGTTGTGTCACCGTCAAGGGCTCACGCAGCAACGACGATGCTGGGAAAGTTTCCTTTTCTTCTCCCTGTTTTCATTTTCCTAAAAGAAAGGCACAACATCTCCCATCAGGAACAGCAGCTACACATGGAACTGGAGGCAACACGAATTAGTTAAGGGGAATAGTCCAGCATCTTTGTACACTCAGGATACGTATCTTTCTTTGCTGTGTGGGCGCACAGAGAGTCGGGTCTGCAGCTGATGCTGTATTTGGGATGAAGGGTTTGTGGGATGGGGGGGTGGATCTGCGTATGGAAGAGGGGCTACATGTGCCTGAGCATATGCACCCCATGAGCGATGTGTTTGCATGTGTCCACAGCAGCTGCAGGAAGGTGCAACGGGGTGCAGGGGAGAGGGATTTTTGGCAGCTTTCCTGGTTGGTGTGCTGGGAGGCAGCACTAGTTTGTGCGTGCTTTCTGCATGCTGGCACCAGTGGTCTTGGACTGCTCTTCACATTCCCCTTCCAAAGCACCCTTCCGTCTTCATCTTTGTCTTATAAAAGCCGGAGAAATAAATCGTTGCTTTTTTTTGTGTTACTGTTGACTCGAATCCCTTTGTCCCCAGCACGGCGAGCATTACAGGATTGAGATATTCGAGGGGAGCCATTTTAGGGGTCCCAGCCTGGAGCTGACAGAAGATTGCTCCTTCCTGCAGGGACAAGGCTGGGACAAGACGTGCATCAATGCCCTCAAAGTGTACGGCGACGGCGCGTAAGTAATTGCTCGTGTCCTGGCCCGCAGCCCTGCCGTGCTCCCTGCCCCGCACACCCTGTGCCCAGCACTCCAGGGAGTGAGGGGGATTGGAGAAAGCCTAAAAGTGGGCATTAAGGTGAATTTTGGTGCCCGACCACTGAGAGCTGCTTCAAAGAGTGGCAGCTAAACACAAGCTACAAGCATTTCAAGACACCTTTTTACAGTGTATGGAACAAGATATTTAAGAGCAGCTTGATCCTTTTTCCTTTTCCTTTCTTTCCTCTCTCCCTTTTCCCCTTCTTCCCTCATGCCTTCCTAACATTTTTGATCATGTTTCCAGATACCACTTTGAAAGCTGCGCAGAGGCTTTTGGGGAGGGTGGATGCATGGCTCGGTTGGTGCATCAAGGCTTTTGTCTTGCAAGTGGCTTCAACACTAGAAACCTGGGTGGCACAAGTGAGGCTTAAAATGAAATCCTGCTTCTGAAAGACAGAGGCAATTGCAGTGGTGATGCCCAGACACCCCGTGGGGGTTCTTGGTCACCCTTGGTGCCTCATGAACTCACTTTGCAGATGAGTTACTGATGCTCAGCCTCATCCTCCTGCCTCTACAGATGCCCCTAAAAGCCTCAGAAGTATGTAAGATTTGCCTTTTCCTTGTTGTTTTGGTGGAAATTTGTGTTTTCTCTATGGTGTTTGTCTTTTTAAATGTCTTTTTTCTCTTGTTGTCCAATGGGTTGTCTGTCTCCCTTTTCCTCTATCTCACAATTGCGTTTTTACTGCAAGTGGGCTGGGAGCTGGGGAATGCCACAACATCCTCCCAGAGCCGGGCAGAGGGTGGCTGGAGGGAAGCACAGGGCAGAGGGAAGCCTCTGCAGAGGAAGGAACACGGATACATTGTTCTTCACCTGTCCTGGACTGGATATTGTGCAGCTCACCAGCCTCCAGCCTGGAATGCTGGACTCTTTCTGTTCATTTTTCCTTCAGAATAGTTCTTGCCATCCAATCTTGTGACATCCTGACAGCGAGTGTCCTGCAGGCCCCTTTTTCTGATTCAACCAAGACCTCTGCTCTTCCAAAAATCCAGGCTTATGATTAGGCAGTGGCAGTTCATTAAAACTAAGGAGCAGAGCTACCCACTTCCAATGGGAAGAAATGGCTGGAGCCCACTGGGGACCCTGTTAGAGCTGAGCATTTGAGTACCAACACTGTAAAGCCAAGAGGGAGCCCGTGAGTACTCTGGCAAGAGCTTTAGGGCCAATTTACTGCTCAGGTCCTTATGGCAGAGCCTGGAGCTTGAGAAATTGGGAAGCTGCCCAGAAACTTTCAAGCACTTAAATTTTTCAGATTGATTTTTCCTTTCCCCTACAAAATATATCGGGAGCACAAAGCTTGCTCTCCCTCGCGTGGGATCCTGGGCTGTTTGTGTTAACATGTTACATGACTTCTCAAGGTCCTTGAGTAGTGATAAAAAATTGAAAAAAAAAAAAAACAAGCACCGAAAGGAGCGTGGTGAGGAAACTCGCTGAGGTTTGTAGTATTACATTCAGATCCCAGGAAGACAGTTGTTGGAAATGCTTGGAAATGTCTGTAAAGTCAATTAAAAGGTAGGACAGTGCAGAGGGACCTGCTGTCCCCAGGCTGCAGGAGGGATGGATAAGATACCACAGTAGAGAGGTGAGACCAGGGAGGAGAAAGGGACCCCACGGCACCACTTTTCTCCTTTGGATGGACCAAATAAGCCCAGGTGACTCCAGAGGTGCTGCAGGTGTAGGTGATGCTGGGCACAGCCTGGCAAAGCTCTCCCAGGACCCATCCTCTGCCATTTGTGGAGCAGAGGACAGGGGGTCAGTGGAGACGAAGGGAGTTTCAGCCACGGCCTCCATCCGTGATTTTCACCCTCAATTCCCACAACATGACATCTGTTGGATACAGAAATATTTGCTTCCTTTTCAAAATCCATGGCTGGTGTCACATGCTGATAAAAAGTTGCTGCCTGCGCTTGTGGAGGCGGGCGTGCCTGAGGGAAGTGATGATGGATCATCTGGAAACATGGGAATGGAGACAAACGTCTGCCTTTGGCATGGTGCATGGTGGGGCCGAGGGTGTCCAGCACCTTCCCTGCTGCCCTTCTGGGGCTGGCAACTGTTACCCCACACAGCCAGAAAGGGTGATGATAAAGCTGTTAAAACCATGCTGGAAATGAGATTGCTATTTTGGAGCAGTTTCGAGGTGTTGCCGCCTCCTCGGAAGCTGTTGCAGGTTGAGTGGAGAGTGGCTTTGCCCTTCCCACGGGCAGAGCCAGCTCCAGTATCACATATGGTATCATCTGATTTTAGATGAAGACGTGCTCATCTCGTCCTCCTTTGTGCCTCAGCCACTCCACAGAGGACTGCTTAGAAACAACAGCTTAAAAAAGCTAAATTTGTTTTGCGGCCCAGGAGAGAATACCCCAAAAAGGGCTTTTCTACACCACAGTGACACAACTTGCAGGAAGCAGACCAACCGTTTATTCTGCTGAAGCATTTAGGAGTGTTTGGTAGTTGTTCTGCAGGTTGTGAAATGTCAACCAGAACAGGTACCCAAATGCTGCTGCCCAATGAACATCACATATTTCTCAGCAGAGGCGATACCTGCCTGTGGCACTGCTTGAATCCTACATGGAGAACGAGGGACTTCCAGCCCCACTGAAAGCCTCCTGGTTGGTTCAGGAGGCTGAAGCAGGGATGCTGCAGGTTCAGGGATGCTGCAGGTTCAGGGATGCTGCAGGTTCAGGGATGCTGCAACATTCCCCTCCTCATTTTTCAGTGTGAGCAGCCAGTTTTGGCTTATAGGGTTTGAGCTGGTTCCATGCGTGTTTTATTCCCATGTCCTCTGGGTTTATGTGCTAATGAAACACAGCACCAAGATGTTTAAGGGCTGTGTGCTATATGCCTGCATCAGCTCTCCCATGCTGGGCTTGAGAACAGGATCATCCTTTTTTTTGTTTCTTTTCTGGGCTCCTGACTGACTTGATTTCCTCTCTTGCTGACAGTCTCAGAGAACGTAAAATTTTGGCAATAAAGGAATAGCTAAGTAAGCCATACAATCCTTCACTCATCACCTTGCACTGCCAATACACTTCATCCCCATCTTTTTGCTATTCCTTTAATTCCTCTTTTTTTTTTTTTGCAGCCTTTCCCTAACCAAAGGGACAAGCCAGGGGGTTCTTGTCACCACACCAGGTCACTCAGTGTGCTTCCATCTACCCCAAGGCCCTCCCATTCCCTCCATGTGATTGTGCAGACACATCAACCATGTGTCTGGAGAGAAACACGTAAATCTTGGGCAAGACAGTGCCTATGAGGGGTTGCTTTTTCCCCTGCTCTATTCCTCAGGGTCCACATGCTGTTGAAAGTTGTCCTAGAGCAGAGAAAAGCTGGAAGAACCACCATGTCCCAGTGGGCCAGCAGTGCTCCGTGGACATCCCTTGTTCTACCACCTTGCAGTACCTCCAATAGCATTAGCAGTGATTGAAACGTGCAGAAAACAGGATTGGGAGCTCTTTCCAGGAGTGCATGAGGGAGGGACAGTGAGCTGATGGCCACAGAGGTCCAAATCGTCTGAAGATACGGAGAAGTGCGTGTAAGATGAAGGTGCAGGGGAGAAAATGAAGAAAGCCATGTGTGCCTTAGGAACAATGCTGGGGTGTATCTAGAGGAGGAGGATAATTTTATGAATTGTTCTTAATTAAGCTGAGGAGCTGAGGACACTCTCTGCCAGTGCACATCAGGATATGTGATGGGGGTACATGGCTTCAGGGCAACCTCAAACTGCTGCAAACTCACGTGAGCACCAGGCAGCCTTCTCCATGTGCTGCAAAGTGAACTTCAGAGGAAAAGTCTGAGGATGGCTTTGTAATTCCAATTTAGATACAAACTGGCTGCAAAAAGTGCTGAAGAATGCTTCCTTGTTTGTGGGAAGCCTGTTGCAGCGATGGTGCAGGCACAGGCCGGGGCAGGAGAAGGGCACCAGGCAGGTCATAGTGGTGCACAGGCAGCTGGGAAAAGGGACCAGCACAGTCCCACCTCGTGTCCTCTCAGAAACACAAGACAAATCCAAATATGTCAGGGAATCTGTAAGATGGCTTGATTAAATACCCTAAACTTTTCTTTTTTTTTTTTTTGTTTTTAAATAATGCCCATGGGTGGCTGGTTTTATAAACAACTTTTTCCCTCAAGCCTTCAGCTTTTTTGCTCTGGCTCAGACTGATCTGAGTTCTCCAGCTGTTGTCTGACCCTGGAGGCCCAGCAGTCTTTGACCCATCCAGTACTTGAAGGATTTCTCCCTGGAAATCCCACATACAGGAGGTCCCAACCACAATGTCCCCGCTGAGTTCCTGGCAAGACAGACCACAGAAACCAAATGACTTGGAGGATTGCATTTCTGCTCTGCTGTCATTGCTGAGCCAATAGATGGGACAAGCAGCACAGATCTTTATAAAATCCTTAAAAACATTGGTAAGAGAGGAAAGAGGCAGAGATGAGCAGCTCAGCAATGACACAGTGGAAACATGACTGTAAAACTGTCAGAGCAATGGCAAAACTTGGTTTAAACAGCTTGGGAGATTTCAATAGAGGACAGAGGTGACGCTTGTGGCCACTTTAATATCATGACAAATGTGACTAAAGGGGGGGTGAAGGGAGAGGAAAACAGCAAAATTATCCCTCTTGGCCACTAGAATTGCTCCTGACTTGAAGACCTTCAAACGGTGAAAGACATGCCATGAGCCATCCCCACAGGGAATGATGTAGCCAAGCCAGGTGAAGAAGTCAGGCAAGCCAAAGTCACCAAGGTTATTGAGTGTTTCATCTATTTGACTGCATTCCATGGTAAAGTTGTGGTTAACTCTGGATGCAGAGATGAAGTGAAGATAACCAAGCCAAGTCCTGCTCTCTGTTGGAAAGCATCAAAGAGGCCATTAAGAATTACTAGCAAAGAGAGAAATTACTAAATATGGTTCCCATCATAGCTAATGAGTCAGTTCAAAGAGGCAGAACATCCATCAAGTGTTGCACATTTCTCCTTACTGTCCAAAAGAGGGTTATCCAGGGGCTAAGGGGACTCATGTCCTTCTTTAGCACTATCAAAGGCTATTAAATTGTTTCTGTTGCACATGGTGAAGCTCAAAGAGATCCATTCCTAGAGTAATGTGAAGAGGGGAGCATCTGCTCCCAGGCTTCATCACTGGTGTAACCCAGTACAAGGTCCAGTCTGGCTGGGGATGGTTGCCAGGCTACACTAAGGGAAACCCTTGTAGTTTGTGGTGCTGCAGTGCCTAAATGCAGCCACTCCACGTGGGCACTTGGCATGACCACAGTGTTGGGACCCAAGTGACCCTCCCTCTCTGCTCAGGTGGGTGCTGTACGAGGAGCCCAACTACCGAGGCCGCATGTACGTGGTGGAACGCGGCGAGTTCAGCAACTTCAACGCGTGGCAGGCGCGCAGTGCCAGCGTCCAGTCCATCAGAAGGGTCGTCAACTACTTCTAGCTGAGCTTCCACCCCACCAGCATCGCCCTCCTCCCCTCTCACTGGCCTGTGGAATAAATTGTTAAACACCAGCTTTCGGCTCCAAGTGCCTTTTTTTTTTGCCTGTAATGAACATGAGTTCAAGAGAGAACAGACTTGCAACCTTTCTAACCTTGATTTACACGCTACGGATTTGCTTTTTTTTTTACTCTGCAGTAAATAAAAGGACTTGGGAGTGGTGGGCCAGAACTGGTGGTGACAAGCAGATCCGGGATCTTGTCTCCCTCTGCAGTTTTGTGGTCTGACACATGTTCCTTCTGCCCTGACCACCACGTGATGGACCCAGCTGACTCCTGGTGCCTGGAGGGGGTCACGTTGGTGCACACAAGTGTTGGGAGCGCGGGCGCGCAGCCGTCGGAGGCCATGTGAGGACACGTGAGGATCATGGCAGGATCCAAGAGACTCCTGGGGTCTGTCTGAGCGTGACATGCTGGTCTCGATGCAAAGGTGACAGAAATCATTCATCCTGAGTTACTTTGACCTTAGATCAGCACACATTAAAAAATATATTAAAAAACCCCAACCCTGAAGGCACAAAACCTGAGCAACCTTTTTGCTCCCTGATTCATAAGCCTTTCACATGATAATGACGTTTTGAGCTATCAGCAGCAAAGAAAAGCAGCACTGCTTCTTATTGCACAACCCTCTTCCCATCTTTCTGCCCCTTCAGTGCTCCCGGTTCATCCCGGTTGTTTCGGTGGCCCTGAACCCCATTCAATGGTTGGCAATGGGTGGGAACTGCTCTGCCCCTTCAGCTATGGACCATCCAAGCCTGGTTGATTCCCCTTGCAGTGCAGCCCCCAGAAGTGCAGTATCCTCCTTTCTGTAAAATCCTAAGCTGCGTTCAGCCTTAGCTAAGAGTTTTTCTGGTTATTTCAGAAAGGGGTAATTTTATTCCTTTCACTCTGTTACTCTATTAGTTGTTAAGGCTTGGCTGTCTGATGGATCCTGACAGGCACGGGCATGGTGCCGGCAGAGCTGCAAAGCTCTGTGTTAATCCAGTGGGAAGGCTGCTGATCTAACCCCAGCCCCAGCCCTTGGAGGGATGTGAGTGAGGCTGACAGGTCTCCAGCACACTGGAGGAGCATGAGGCGCCTGTGCCTTCAGGGCTGCTCTGCTCTGTGGGTGTGCAGTGGAAATCTGCCCTTTGCTGAGCGATGGGGAGGAGCAGGGTCTGTGCTCTGTGCCAGGGCAGGTGGCTGGTTGGTCCCATACTGCATCCCAGTAGGATCTGACTGCCATTTGATCAATTCACAATCATCCACCTCGTCGTTCATCTTTCCAGTTAGAGGTTCTTGGCTCCCTGTTGCTCTCTACCAGTAGCAGGACTGGGGCAACTGGTAAGAACAGGGCCTGTGTGAGAAAGATGTGCTTTTCCCATGATGAAGTGGTACCATTGCTAGAGCTCCATTGATTGAGATTTGTCCCAGATGCACATATACTGTATATGTATTATGGAGGGTCTGAAAATACAAATTTCTATCTTGTGAACGTAACAACAGTTTGGGTGATGTTTGCCTTAGCAATGATACAGGCAATCATGTCCTCTTGTAGACAGGCTGTTGTCTGGATGTTATCCTCTACACAAACCATTGCAGAAGCACTATAGTCACACCAGCTCAGCTCTGGACTTCAATGGCCTTGGCCTGGGTGGCTTGTGGTGACGTGGTCCACTGGAGCTGTAAGAATATTTAATATCTTTAATGGGTTGCAAGGTATTTCTGTGTCAGAGAAGGCAGGGAAATGATTCATTCATTGAGTGGGATGCACAAATGCACAACTTGTGCATCAACTCTCGCGTATTTCATTTTCTTTTAATTAAATGCAGCTTACGAAAGATTTTAGGAGTCCTTCCAGGATTAGCGTTGCTCTTGCCTCATGAAGGCTCTAATCGGCTCCTGAGCTCAATGCACTCTATTAAAAGTTAATATTCAGTCATATGCAGTGCTCTTTGTTGTGACCTTCTGGCCATTAATCTGTTAAAAAACCCCAAATGTGGTCCCACAGAAGGACAGGCACTGAATTGTGACGAGATTTAGAGGCGGCTTTTCGTTCATTTGAAGCATGTTCAATGTCACGGTTCAGCACGAAGGATAAAGGAACAAAGGCTTTAAAATATACAGTAACTGGAGTCCCATGTGCTCCAAGTATTTGGAGGACAAAAGAAAAGAAAATAGAGAACAACCATGAGCCCACATTCCCCTGGGAACAGCAGCATAAGCCCAGAAACCCCCACACCTGGGTTTCTCGACACTTGGTGCATCCATCCTGAGGAGTGACTGTCCCACTACTGCTGGGATCAGATACCACAGATATCCTGCTCTTTGGTTTCCAGTGTTCAGTGACTCAACTTCCCTCCATGCAGACCAGCATTGGAGGGACCCACTGACATCCCTTCCTGTCCTTGATGGGATGCGTGGGACTGTGCACGTACACACAGACGTACAGGCTGGCTCCAACATCCAGCTACTGGGTGCAAGCCCACTTCATCTGCACACTTCAAACTAATTGTTTGTTTATATGTTCTGTTAGATTAATATTTGCCATTTAAATTGTGGAAGTGCTTAGAACCCCAGTCCTGGAGTGAGCTGTGCTGTGTACTGGGAGTTAAAGCACAAAAAAGGCAGTCTGGTTAATCTGTGCTGTTGTGTCTAAGCCTGTTTGTAACCAGCGAGTGTTTAGCCTCCTATAGCACATTTTACACATGTCTGTAATATGCCTACAGAGTAAATACTCGTCATTTATTAACATCTGATATCCCGTTTATGAACACACTCTCAATGCAAAGAGCTGGTCTCATGTGAAGGCTATTTAAAAAAATCCTCTGTATGCTGAAGTCTAATCTTACTAAAAATTGGCAGCGAGGAATTGAATTCCGTCTATTTTTTTCCTGATTTGAAACCTAAGTAGGGTGGCCATGGGCCTAATCCAAACACTGATGCTGCAGGAACATGCATTGCGTTGGCAGTGGGGGGACGTGGCTCTCGTTCTCTTCCTTTTCCCTCCCCCTCCTTGCTAAATCTGCACTTGTTTAAAGGACAGAATGTACAGATCCCATATGTTTGCTAGTGGTTAGGGTGTTTCTCTTTAAAAAAAAAAAAAAAGAAGATTATTGACATTGCTCTAGTATGAAATGGTATGATTTGTGAGTTTATAGCGTATGAAATATAAATGACAAAAGTGCCAGCTCGATGTGAAGTGGATGTGAGATTGTGCAGCAGAGATTTGAGCTTCACATCACTAAACTGTGTATGGCTGAATGAGTTCAGCTACGTGCACCGAGGAGGCAAGAAATGGATTAAGTAAATTGGAAACTATTCCACAAAATGCCAAAGATAAAACTAAGATTCAACATGAACAAAAGTAACAAGTTATTAATTATCAGAGAGAGAACTAAATGAAATCAGATCCATCTGGAAAACCAGGAAAACCCTAATAATCAGCATTACTGTGCTTGGCCAGGCTGCTGCAGTGTAATATTCAGAATAACTTTGAATTACATCTGGCCCCAAAGCAAATAGCTCCTGCCAGAATGCCTGCATACACGAATGTCCTTTCTTTGTAGCTGGATAATGCGCAAATTTGATGGAATATCTCTTTCAAATGAATCCTTGGAAGATTTTTGAGCAACTGCAGTGCTTTTGCATGGCTATATTACCTGGTACACGTACATATAGCAAAGGTAAGGAGGAAACTGCCTACTGATCCTCTGCTGGCATGTGTGATATTGTCACAGCTCAGATGTATCTCTATTAACTGCTTTCACAGGCAAAAGGGCTGCACAACCACCTCCCTTCCCTGGGGAATTCAAGAGGTGTTATCCTGCTATTGAGGCTGCCCCACGCTCACACCTTCCTGTGATTTCTTCTCTCCTCCTCCAGAGACACCTCTCTGGACCTGGTGAAAATGAATCCACTCCTCAGTGTCTGCTAGAGCTGTTTTATTACTTCCTTAAGTAGAAAGTCTGGCTCAACAGTGACCTCTTTGACTGACTGCAGAAAGGAAATGAAGAGCCTGAAAAGGTCTCTCTGAACTCTGGCACCAGAAGGAGAGCCCTGGTCACTCTTAAAGCATAAGCAATGACAGGGTAAAAGTGTTGAGAGGACACATCTCAGTGAATGAGCACTGGAACAGGTTGCCCAGAGAGGTCGTGGAGCCTCCTTCCCTGGAGATATTCAGAAGCTGTTTAGACACAGTCCTGAGTAATGTTCTCAAGGGGACCCTGCTTGAGCTGGGAGGTTGGACCAGACAACTTCCAGTGATTCCTTCCAACCTTACCCATTCTGTGCTTCTGTGATATTCTGGGAGCGTTGACAGATAACCTGGCTCCCATGCTTTACCTAGTTCACTTGTCACTTTCTTTTCCCTGTTGTATTGAAGTCAAAGGAAAATTGGGTGAAAACAGGTTTGACCTTGAAATTTTTATTATCCATGGGCTCAAACTCTTGTCCAGGAGTAAGTCTGATATAGCTAACAAGTCCCCAGTCAGATAATATCTGCATCATGTAGTCAGCATCATCAACATTGCAAATGGTGATTTGTTTTGGTTTGTCATTTTAAATAATCTGGTTTATTGGCGAGGTGAAATTCAGTTAAATGAACTTGCAGTGGTTGGGACTCATAGCTAAGTGTCCTCTTGTTCCAAGAGTCACCTTTCAGTAGCAGAGGAGGTGCAATAACATCCCACACAGTATGAGCTGTTCCCATATTTACTGGTGATGGAAAGCAAACACACATTGGAAAAGAGTGGAAAAGGACAGAAATAAAATGTATATTAATTTTCCATGGAGCAACAGAAGCACTGAAGAAAGAGCAAGTGGCTGCACCACGTTTTTCATGGACTGCTGACCATCTTTACGTGGTTCAGGATAAGACAGTTTGTAATCAAGTCAAGCTGTCCTGCTTTAAGCATATGAACATATGGAGGAATGTACCAGTGTATTCAGTCAAATTGTGCGTGAAGTAAACATGAAATCATATTGAAATTGTTAATGCAAATTCCTTCTTTGAGTATGATGATCT